TGGATTCACTTCACGACGGCTTTGTCGCATGTCGCATCCACTTCGACCGAGGCCTTCGAGGCCCCCTTCCTGCTGAACGCCGAGCTGAAGGCGCATTGGGTCCCGGGCGCTGTGGCGGCGGTGGCGGCTGCACCGCTCTGCGCGCGTCCGCTCGACTCTCAGCTCTCGCTCTCAGCAGATGCTTATCTCGCGAAGGCGGCGCCACAAGGCTTCCTCCGAGGACTCGGCGCAACTCACGGGGGTGACAAACCCTGCGATTCCATGTCTGTGAACTGTTTTGACGGGGTCCGGATGTCGATAATCCGAAGTAGGGACGCGTGGGTGACGGTTCCTTTGGCGGGGCCCGGATGTCGATGCTCCCGAGATGGGGACGGTTGGACGGTTGGATGACGGGGCGTCGGTTCAGGCACGGGTGACGACGCCGTTGGCGAGGCCCGGATGCCGAGACGCGGTGGCGCGTCGCCTGGCGATTTGGCGATACGGACGGTCAGAGCTGCGTTTGCGCCGAGCCAAGCGAGCCGTGGATGTGACATGAATGAGGCGACCTTGACCGCTCGGCCGGCCTGTCCGTCCGTCCGTCTGCCCGTCAGGCTGCTGTCTGCCCACCGTTGGTCGGCTCGAGTCAGTGTGCGTGATCGTGTTTGACTGTCGGTAGGTGAACGGGGTCCGTTGCCTGGCTTGGTCCTGGCCGCAGATTGCACGGGTCCCATCACCACCCTCTCGGGCCGGGACGAGTGGGACAGGCGCGTGTCACACTGCCACACGTCAGCAGATGACGCTGCGAATCGCGCTGAGCCCCGCGAGTTTTCCCCTCTAAACTGGCCGGTCCCCCTTGCGCTGGGGGAGGGGCACTCTGGCACTCTCATCAGTGCAACCCCCACAGTCACAGTGCTGCCCCTTGCAACCTTGCCCTATGGATGTGGAATGTACTGGTGAGAAACTACATCCATGGCAGTCTCCCCCCCCCCCCCCCACGATAGCCAAAAACCGAGCTCGCGGTCAGGGACCTCAGTGCCAGTGTCCCGCCGTTGTCGGCCTGGGTCTGGATCAATCTTCTTTAGACCAAAGTCGCGTTACTCTTCTCTCTCTCTCTCTCCTCGCCACGCTATGCTGTCGCACGCAGGGTCAGCGGTCCCTGCCAGTCCCGCCACGCCCCGCTATCCCAGCCCGGCCCTCGGCCCGGCCGCCAGAGAAACCAATTCCCGTAATGAGTTGGTCTGTTCCCGCCAAAGCGCGCCAAACTCTGTCTCTCCTCCCTGATTGATTGATAGTGCTAATTAATTGTGACGGCGGCGGGAACAGAACAGGCTTTTTTAGCCTCCGCTGTACGCATGGGCGCAGCGAGCTTTCGTCGCGCCCGCCGTCCTTCAGTCGGGGTTCATTCAATTAGCTTCATCTGCGCGCCAACACGCTTGGACAAATCTCACCGCCGCCTCCAACGCAATGGTTGCCTACTTCGCTGGCTAGCGCGTACTTACCTCTGGTACGCGTGAGTGTGTGTTAGAGGCCCTTGCTCGCACTGACAGCTCCTCTCTCCCCTCCCCCACCCCCTCGAGCCATCATAAAGGTCTTACATCATCATGTAAGCGACCTTGCCCGCCCATGGAAGCATCAAAGCGAAATTTTATGAGCCGTTGTGTTCGACCTTTCGCCTGCGCTACGCCAACGATGCTGGCTGAATGGGGGTTGCGGGCCGGCCTAACCTTTTCCTAGCGAGCGCGTCCACGTGTGGTGTGGCCGCCGCGCGCCGCCCCGGCATCGTGGTCGTGGACGCGCGACACCGCGCCACCCGCCCGCCTAACCCAACCCGGTGAAAGGTGTGTTTGCGTGTGTCGCGAGGGGCCGGCCGAAGGCGAACTGGAGGCCCGAGTCAGAGGATTGCTTGGGTGAGGTGATACGACTTCACATTCCCTGCCCGAGTAGTTGTCAACGCCCGTAATTTCTTTTCTGGCCGTATCTGGATCTCACGCCTCCACCTTCCCTCCCCCCTCCCCCCGCAACGCTGGCAGCCAGGCCAATGCACCGCGCATTCAGCGAGTTTACCCCCCTAGTCGCGACCTTGTTCGTAATTTTGGTCGCATTCGCACTTCTGCCGACTTGTTCGACGTCAAGACCTTGTTATTTTTTTCTCGCTCATCGCTGATCGCGTTGATTCGCAAGAGGGTGGCTTTTGCTCCTGGTGGAGTAACTCCGCTCTCTAACGGCAACCTTCCCCCGCGGCCGCCTGTCTAGTCGGCGGGCGGCAACTTGTGGCGCGAGGCGAGGGAGGGAGTGTGTGGGAGTGAGTCGGGCAGAGCGGAAGCAGCGGCTGCTGAGGTAGCAGGCGGGGCGGAGTGGCTCCAGCAAACTGCAGCTCCCTGTGCTGCGCCGCTGCTGCGGGGGCGCGAGGCGCGGTAGTCACAATACGGCACCCGCTGCAGGGGCCTGGCCTGCACACGCCTCCACATGTCACCCCAACCCCGGCCGGGCCCGGCCCGAAGTGCTTACGCTTCAGTTCCGGTGGTTCCGGTCGGGCTGGCCGCGGGCTGGCCGTCTCGCCTGGCCTGGTGGGCGAGTGCGAGATGTGATTCGCGGAACTGTAATATACATAGCCCAGCAGCTCGGGCCTTCCTCACATATGCCCTTGCGGCTGCCTACCTGTGCTGCGCCTGACGCCAGAACAGCTGACGGCGGCGCCGCGGCCGTGGCGTCCAGCAGGCCGGGCAGGGCCGGCGGAGTGCGCGGGTCACCCCAACGCCGAGCTCAGCCGAGGGGGCCCAGCCCGCCCCGCCCAGCGGCAAGCCGGGGCCTCGGGGGGCCCGGCCGGGCAGTGCGCGGCCAGCGCCTGACTTCAGCACAACCCCACCGCGGGGCTGCGAGCCGCTCGGACCGTCGCGCGTTTGTCACGCAGCCGAAATGGAAGTCGAACTGTCGGCCCGAGCCCCGTCTCAGGCCAAGTTCTCTGCCCTGCCCCAGTCAGGTAGTTTGTTCCTGTTGTGCTCTGGGACTAGAAGTTCAAAGTTTC